CGAACACTGTAATCCTAATAATGCTTTCACACTAAATAAAATGTTAACTCGTGTGATCTTAATGTTTGTATAAAAGGGGAATGAATAGAGCCTATAGACTATTCAAATTGTCATATCATGTCAACATATTCAGGCCAAACAGGATTTTTAACGCTTTATAAATCGTATTAGACCCCAAAGTGCTAAGTGACGTTACGCAGAAATACAACAATGCAACATGGCCAGTCAAACCATTATCTGTTTCTACAATTTAGGCCTAAATAACGAGCAAGTTTCACTTCATCTACTTTTTCTTCCATAGCCGATATGCTCTTATGAGATCAGTGACCCTTGTCAGCCCCTGTAGACCTAAATGACATGCATCCTCACAGATGGTAAGAGAAATAAGTCAGTTTGACCGTGACCTCTTTGGCTCCCTTACTCCATCATCAATATGAACTTGCCCCCGTTTACACTCAAATCAAAATTACAATATTTCTTCACATTTGGCACAAAAACCGTTATCAGAATAAAATCTGGAGAAAAGTCAGAGTTCTGTTATTTTTAACGAATGCCCTTTTGGGGCAAGTTATTACACATAGGCTAGCCCTAAATGTTTGGATTTTTTCTCGTTAAAACATGTCTTGCCTTCATATACTACAGTCACCTCCTCCATTTGTTTTTGGTCGAATTTGAAATGTCTCTATTCCAATTAATTCTAAAATTAAGATAAATCTTTGAAAAATTGTTTATTTCTTACAATGGAACTGACAAGTTCCAACATTTCATCATTTTACCCTCTTAAAAGATTTTCTTTGTAATGTTCATGTGACCATTGCACAATTTGTATCGCCTATGTAGGAATTATGAGTCCTAATAAGGGAACCAACCATACCAGTATATTGAAGGGGATAGAGGAGCATGGCGGGGGGAGGGGGGGGGGGGGCTATTAGACACGCACCACACACAACGCGCGGATACTCCCGTCGAAATGGTTTGAAATCAAACGCATACAACGCTAAGTGGTTAACCAGTATTCCAAGTTTCCAAAAACTTATTTCAACGTAAACTTCGTATTTCATTTCCTTGTAGCCAATAATAATCAGGGTGAATCCAACATCACGGTTTCCCTTCTATTATTTATAAGAAAGCTGATTCATCCCTCCAAAATTGTTAAAGAAAATAGAATGTGCTCTGTAACAAGCTACAGAACTCTATTACTATTAGAAAAAGTATGATTTCAAGACTTTTGGCTGTCTTTCTACATGTATATGAAAAAGTGGCGCGAATGAAATTTTGACATTTTAATTAAGATCATTTCTGTGACACAATATGAGAAAGATTTTACATGAAAAATGAGTGGATTTTCTAGGTACAGTCATTGTGATTTATCAGGGGAATCTATTTATAAACTTCTGTGACATTTAGGCGAAAATGGTGGCAGTTACGACGATTTACTCGGATGACTCGAAATGAATTAAAAGTGTAAATAATGTTTTTCTGTGTCTGTGTGACACATCTGTGGGTGACTTTGACTTGGTAAGACTATCAAATCCACACTCGGAGTCCAGGCATCATTCCATACTCCATAACATGAAGGGGAGGTGACCTTGATGAAGTGTGAGCAACAAGTCTGCTGCCAAAGACCTCATAGAAATTCCTCGATCGTTCTTCATCCACCTGATCGGTCCTCGCGTCTCAGCGCAGTTTTCAGATCTCGAAAACTAATCCACTTTTTTTCAAATTAATTCTATCGGGAAACTTTGTTGGCGACGTTAACTCCAAGAATCCGAGGATTACATGTTGACACAAACAACTTGTCATTTGATATGTTCTACAGACAGCTTGAAGATTGGCCCCTGGTATTCTTTATATGAAACCCGTTGCCTTGAAAGCATCAAAGGCACTGGTGATCGGATCCCTTTACACAAGAAGACAAGATCTAGTGGCCGATAGCTTTTGAGCAGGGAACATCGCTCCTTCTTATCTTTTCTCTGTTTTACTAGAAAGTTTTTTTGACTAGATTGTGGCTGCCTAAAGGATGACACAGGAAACATATGTGATCTCTTGACAAAACAAACCTGAATGAAATTTATTAGAGAGGACTCCGCAAGAGAGTCATCCTCGCGATGAGATCTGATAATGTCAGGGCAATTCCTGGGGGCTGGAGAGAAAGGAATTATGAATGAAACGGGGAAACTTGGAGTTGGACGAGGATGCGGGACGTGCGATTGAAAACATGACAAGGAAAGAAGAAGGAGGAGAATGTAGAGATAGGAGGGACATAGAAAGAAATACAAGATGAACAGAAATCACGAGTTATAGGAAATTAGGAATATATCATGGTGTTTTTTTTTTCTTCTCTGAATACCTTGATGAAAATTGATGATTAAATGTTGGAAGCGACTAGACTTCTTCAGCATTTCATAATTCAAATAATTATTGAATACGGAAGTATGATAGAAACAAAACCGTCTGGAACTCATCCGAAATTACTGTGAGAGACTAAGTGTGGGTGTGCGTTTTTCATTAGTTTGGGGTGTGTGTTGTGTGTGTGTGTGCGCGCGCGTGAGAAGTGCTTAGAGGGCTAGTGCATAACACCATTGTTAGGGAAGGGGGAGAGAAAGACGGAGCTGGGGATAGAAGGGAGAAGAAATGAAGATGGCTCGGCAGATCCACGAGAGCGGAAATTCGCTGAAATTCGAGTAGGATATGCAGAAGACACTTACAATCGGTGGAGCAGCTCAGTGACGAATGGAAAACATTTGGTGGGAAAACTGGAAAGCGTGGAAAATTGACGATCTCTAAGGAGGATCGATGATTTCCGCTCAATTCCAAGTCGGAAAAATATTACAAGTCATGAAGATCTTGATTTCTGTAGATAAGACTGTGCTCACAATGTGAACCCTTGGTATTTGTAGTGTTTGAGGGCATGACCCATACGCAGCAAAACATGTTGCTTGATAGAGAATTATGCAAACTATTTAGCTCGACTAATTGCGTTCATTGCCAAAAAATGAATAGATTGCTCTTTTTTATTTGTTTGAGTTCAAGGTCTTTTTCCTCGATGATAACATGACAATGGACACAATGGAGGAACCTACATGGAAGCTTTGAACATGCTCAACAGCGGATACTATTTCTTTCTCGATAATTCAGATCTAAGTAAATTAATTTTCCCATTAGCATAAATACTCTCCTTTTGTATCTTGCTTAATCTTTTTAAAACAAAAATTAAATAACTATGGAATATGGAAATTTTCGACTTCTTTAGATATCCCTCTAAGCAAATTTACCACCTTCACAAATTATGACTTGACTTTACAAACGCATTCATCGATAATTATGATGTATAAATGTCCATCTGTATTATCTTGACAGATCTTTACACATTTCTGCCCTCATTTGGATGACCAGCTGAATTTCCACTGTCCTCCCTCCGTCCTGAAAAGTTCACCCGATCGCGGGGTCACAATAGTAAAAAGCAAAAAAGAATATCCGCGTCTGCTGATGGCGATAAGAACAGCATAGGTACGTCTTATGCACAAATGGCGTCCCATGGGAACAGTCAATAGAGGATTAATGTCAAAAGCCATCTCTGCAACTCCATCACAGAAAAAAATGAAGCAGAGAATACAGGCTAGATACAGCATGGGCGATGATTGCTTCCATATTTGCTAGTGTCTTCATCCCAGAGGAATAATGAGCAGGATCGGTGTTTATTAGAGGACTCATTTCTATCACCTTCAAGTCCAAGTGACATCAGCACTTTTAGTCTAACTTAGGAAGGGACGTGTCGGAGTAATTCCGACCAGAAGTTAGTACTTCTTGACCCTAAACTCGCCTCAAGATTATAAACTGGGCGGAGAATTTAGAATAGATATGAGTAACGTGTGGAGAGGTGGGTCTTGAGTTAACTTGTCCTTATACGACAGACGGAGTACATACGAGAAATCCCTCAAGTAATCCTTTTCACCTGTATTTTACATCGTCATCTCATTTATCATAATTATCCTCAGATAAGCCTTCACCTTTTCTTCTCTCAAACAGAACGTGTGCACTTTCCAAGATGAGTCTTCAAAATTGATAAATAGGAAAAGCGTGAAACTTACTGAGAGAACGCTATTTTTAGTAGAAGCATCAACATAAAAAAAACTTTATTTATGCCTATAAGAACTCTTAAATGTCTTTTTTTCAAAAAAGCATTTTAAAGCATTTCAATGAAAAGCCTTGAGTAAAAAAAAAAGAGAGAATTGTTGGTAATAGCCATATTTTGTTGTTTAAGTAAAGGCGTTGTTTCTCCTTACGTTGTAAATTTTGTCTTACATCCTTTTCCATTTAAAAAAACTACAATTCTTAAAAATGAAAATATCTAATAACTAAATAATATTAAACTGATATTTAGTGAGGTATTTCCACCCACATACCTCCCATAAGAGTGAATATCTGGTTCAGCCACTATCAATGAGGTGATGCGGAAGTTTAGGATTGACCTTCTGAATTACAGTTGAACCTTGTTCATTTATACTCCAAGTTGATCGGAAGTTTCAAAGTGTGTGTTTACCCCATTATACAGAGTTTTGTAACGACAATGTACGGAAGCAAATGAACAATATAAAAAAATGTATGTGATTTGTTTTTGGATACTACCCCCCCCCCCCCAATACAAACTATTACAGGGACATTTAAAAAAACAAATTATTCTTTAAAACATTAATGTAAAATTGTAGGTGTATACGTGAGCAGAGGCAGAAGTGTGGTGTGATTATGTGTCATTCGTGAAGACCATTCAACAATGAGAGGAGTTTAAGGAAGGGTAGGATGAATGAGAAACATACTCAAAAACAACTTGATATCACCGATAACCATACAGGAGTTAGGATGCATGAATAAACAAGAAAACCAGCAACAGCAACAAAAACACCAATATAGTCGCTGATATGATATAAGAAGCCATGTGACTGCCCCTTTTAGGAAAAAAAGGAAACCCCTAAAAATGAATTTGAAAAATAGTTACGTACCCCGTGAAGTTTGTAGTAGAGACCACAAGCATTACAGACAGGGTCTCCATTGGGATTTCTCCTCCACAGTGTGGTAGCGGTAGCCTGACAGTTTGCACATGATGTCCCTGTTCGCTTAGCAGACTATAAAGGAAAGAAATACAGACAGAAATATTATTTATAATGTACCCCGAAAACATTTTTTTTTAAACATGAAACATATCTTCTATACTAGAAAACAGTACATTAAGAAAAGTAGAACGACCATGAATAATTTACGAAAATGACAATGCTAAGACTGTGCTAATAAAATACATGTATAATTGTATATGCATGTGTTTTACACACATATCAAGATTTATATAAAATATTTTAATCCACATAGAACAACATTTTAATACGTGCTAACTTCTTACTACATTTTGATACTCCCCATGAAACATAAATGTTTGATTCTTGATTATGAAAGTACCATAGATATCTATGTCTAGACATATATGTATCGCGATTACGTCAAAGTGACGTCAAACCCTATCAGAACAAAACTACACAACTTTTTTCCTTTAAACCAATCCGACAATTTATGAACACTTTCGATCTTTGTCTCAAGCTCAGTTACATACACAATCCATAAATAAATTATGCCTCGCAAAGCGAAAGTCAAGCAGAACTTTAACTCTCCTCCAGGTATATACTTTCACACTTCCTTTCATTGTCCTATCTTCATAAATCTTTTATAGCTCGTTACGTTCAAAATAATAATAGTTCCTGAAAAACACTTACGCCTAGCTCTATATTACCTGTCTAGTAATATTTCCAAAGTATAGTCACGCGGTATATCATATTTCATAGTTATAGCTTTTAAATTAGCTTCAAAAAGCGATATTTCATCTTTTAAAAACTATGTTATGAAGTAATTGTCCACTTAAAAGCCAAAGTGAGATCGCATGTTCTTCTTAGTATTTTCCAAACATCCATTTTAAAATAGAAGTGAAAGTGTAAACTGAGTTGACTAGAAAAATAAGAACTTTTTTAATTGTTTTGGTGCGACCAGGGCCGTTGCACAAAACTTACCATTGATAGTATCTTGCCATCAATGGCACCAACCATGGTAACAGGACTCAACAGACAATAATAATCAAGGTTTTCATGGTAGTAACCATTGATGGCAAAGTTACCATCAATGGTAAGTTTTATGCAACCGGGCTCAGGTCTGACCTTGTCACTCTGTACTCAAGCGGACTGATCACAAGTTCTTTGCTTCACATGAGTATATATGTCATCTTCGCTGTACAATTTACAAAAACCATGCTTTTAAAGTGTAACATTTTCCTTTAAATACCGTGTTATGTGAACAAATGGTTAGAAAATATCAAATGAATTTATCGCCTTCTTCTCAGCGGCTGCTCGGCGTGTAGAGCCCGTGCAAATAATATTGCTTTCCTTTTACTTACCAATCTTCTTTTAGGTTTTATAAGCGGTCTGTTCTGTCCGTTCATTTTGTGGTAGAGACCGCAGGCATTACAGAGATAGTGACCGTTTCCGTCTCGTCTCCATAGCGGTGTCGAGGTAGCGCCACAATTTACACATTCTCGACCCTCTGGTAAAGATAAATCGGGAAAAAGTCATATTACTGCAATGTGACGAAATTCCTACATCATTGTGTTATAATGCTTCTATAATAATTGTTGAAATGTTAATCTTGAAGGTATCCACCTTCCTCAGAAATTCGGTAATGAAATATACGTATACTTTGAAGTGAATGGATAGTGATACTTTATAGGTCCACATGATACATGTTAACTTCGATTTATCCCCTGCGCTTTTTCACTCTTTATCTCTATGTATTTTCCCATCTTTTTCTCAGCCTGTGTGACTCTGATTAACTTAAGCTAAGGAGGAAATCGTCCACAAAAAAGAAATAGATTTTTTGAAAACCTTATTAAGTAGTTCTCTATCTTTGTAAGATAGCTCATCTATCAAGTTATTACATAGATGTGACGTAAATCATTGTTCGATATATAGTATACAAACTATGTTCCTGATGTTACTGCATAAAGTTGTTTAGAAATATAGTATTGTATGTATCTATCATCACTTGCTAAGGTTACTCCGTGGGTATGTTTTAATAGAGATAGAGACCACGAGGAAAGGAAGACGTGTCGCCCAGTCGTGGCGCTAACTGGTTGACACTTTATAAATCAACATTACCGGTTTACTTAACAAGCCAGACCTTAATGAACTGCCGTTCGTTTTATGTGGAGAATGTTGTAGGTTGGGGTCGGCAGGGGTCGGCTTGAGAGGGGTGAGGTTTTTTATGAAAAGTCTGGACATAGGTAATCCATTTTAAATTTAAGGAAGCAACTTGATATCTGACATACACCAATTTCTAACAACATCATTTTAATAGATTCATTCATCAGCTTCAATGATAACTTTGCAAATGGTATGAAGGATTTTCAAAATGTCGGCCTTCATCGCGGTTAATGCATCCTTTTAGAGGAAAAGTATCGAGAATCTGGTTTGAGGTCAAAAGTTGAAGAAACGAAAGGAGGACGAAGTCAGGTGCTATGGATCTGTCCTATCCTAATTCAAATTTCCTCCCAGTCGCTGGGTTGTCGGAGAGCAATGGGAGTGAGGTAGAGGGAGAGAGAAGAAGAGTACAGGGACTCAGGGAGCGCGCGAAAACTGTGTTTGTTGAGCTCTTTATTTTCCGATAATTTCCGATTCTAATTAGACGACCATTCTGGCGTTAAGTAAGTGGGATCCTGAATAAGCCAAGCCGTTAGAATCTAGCCATCATGACAAAGGTCTCGATTCAGTTATTACCCGGGTCACATCGTGCTATACATGAAATGACAAAATGACAGGCTTTTGTTCTTTAGAATGCATTCCTTTGTCAGGCATCAATCATTCGGTGCATGCTTGTCATGGAATAATAACCAGGATTATGAATTAATTAAATTAAAGAGTGACTCTTTGTTCCACAAACAAAATGTCAATTAAAAGTCATTTTAACAATCTGGAAGTGTAGAACGCCTTTGGAATGTGACGGAATATCGATGAAGTACACAGTCTCCAATTATCGTGCATGGTTGCAAGACGATTCGCCAATAATTACAGGTACATCAATAGTTCAAACTTGTACTGTATAGAGTTTAATTTGTTAACAATTATCTTTCATACTGATTCTGACTTCTTTTCCAAAGTTCCAAAGTTATTGACATTTCTTAGATATCAACAAAAGAGGCAGATATTGTGTAGATTTTTTTTTTTTTAAATACACACCTATATAAAAACCGTCAATTTTCAAAATTTATCCCCAAATCTTTATTCCCGTCAGCTATCGTGATTCGAGATTCACTGATTCCAATATAATATCGTTTTCAGTGATATTACCCTGAAGGGTACTATTTTCAATTAACAAACTTACTGTTTTGATCTTGAACAAAAGTGAGAAAATACCAAAGACTGAAGTGTTCTCAATTTTTATCGAGAATTAAATGAGTGATGTCAACAACACAGGGTCTATTTTACAACTAAAAAATCTGCCTTGGGCTAATGACCTATATTCTTTACCATCGCCTGCCATTTTCGTGACGTCATAAACTGTTCATGATTACCTGTATATAGTTTTTGTCGCGATGTTTTGAGCTGATAATTGCCCGTGGCACCAAGTTTGTTGGATGACAGCTATGTTGCCGAAGGGGGTTGTTCACAAGTATTGACGTAATCAAAATGGCTAATTATACGCCAATGAAGGAAGCCTGACATGATAATGTGAATCATTATGAGCGGTGCGCCTCTTGAACCAACCCTCACATCCCTCTCAAAAGAGCCAACACTGTTTAATAAACGTTTGTTACGTTTCCATGGTTACATGAGAGGTATACTAATTTCATACCCACATCAATGTGCCACACATGGTTCATGAGGTGACGAAATGGTTGACTCTCAAATTCAAATGTGTTCAATATTGAAATTTCTTCCGAAATACATACGTTCTCACATCACGCAGCATTTAAAGATCAAATCATACTAGTTATTTCCTTATGAAATATGTAAAACTTGTAGTCAAATTAGATGAAGTTGGTTATTCATTGTATTGATTAGTTCCAGTGAGAATACAACCAGACGTGAAGTAGACCGAACAAAAAAGCTACACTACTCGAATTGTTAATATTTTATCGATCATTGGTCGACTTTGAAAATGTAGGCACTTTTGGAATATTGGAGTCGGTATGATGGTGGGACTGGCATGACTGGGGTTTGATGATATGCTTGCCCCTTACCCTATGTTTGTCACTGATACCAAACAGACAAAGACAGGAGACGAGTATGGGGATAAACGACCTCCAACAAAGCATTGACCCTCCTTCTCTGTGTATCCGTACATCTATCTTGATTGGAGCCCGTCCAAGACTGATCTTTAGTTTAGAACTTGTGTCTCGGTCCTAAAAATGGTTAAACCAATTAGGGGTTATGACGTAGACAGTGACGTTTGTTTCTCTTATAGTTGACAGAGAAGCCGTGCGGCCATTTCCGTTTAGGGTTAATGTAATTGTACCTCCCTGAACCAGCCTAGGACTTCAAACACATCTCTAAAGTGGTCTAAGTTTATTTATATACAGCCCCTGCTGCACAGGATGTTCCAGTTAATATTTTAGAATGAAGGTACAATTGCATTAAACATTTCGTTTGCCACTTCCGGTACCAATAATGACAGGCGTTGCCTTGCTTCCAACTTTTACCCACGACTAAACGGGGATGCAAAAGAAGTAAAGTAACTAAAAACAAGAATTTACGATATTTAAAAAATGAACGGACCCACTGTCCTCATTCATAGCTTTTAAGTTAAATGGGTTGACAGTAATAATGAATCTCTATAGACGAGTAGACGTAGTCATATTAATCCACTTTTGGATAATTATGTTCACATGATAGTAAGTGATTGGAAAGAATATGATTCTGCTTTTAAATTGTTCCATCTGTTCGATTGCAAACACCTTTACTCTAGGTAGATCAAGCCATTTTGCTGGGCCATTGATATTCCCATTTATTTTTCAGTAAATCTTTTCCCTGGCGAAAACGAGTAAAAAGTAAAAACAAGTGTAGTTCGACCATTTTTCTCGTAAAGCTCCTCGTCCAAATGAGACGTGTTTGCCCTATATTGACATTTTAATGAAGTTATCATTAAGTCTTCCCAATATGATACGTTTGTCTTGAAGAATTTTAAATAATAACTATCGGAAAGTAAAACCAACAGTTAGGCCCTAACTTACAAGTAAATGATGTCGTGCTTGATACGTGGGAAATCTTATTAAAAGGATGAATCCTTTATGTCCTCCAAAATGTAACATGACATGCTGAATTATTGTGTGTCCCGAATATTAAACAAAGCGTGGAGGAAAGGCCGGATACCTGGAGAAGGTTTAAATTTTAATAATGATGTACCTTTGTGGAAATACGGAGCGAAGGGATCGAAAGGTATCAAATATAGTCATTTCCCATATCACGCATACCTAAGATTTATGTTTATGCTTTTCGTCTGTGAATGATGCAAGTGATACTAAAATATCATTCTATTTCTTGGCAAAGTGTCCTGTGTCGTGTCATGTAAGAAGAGCCAGGACTAGTTCTCGATATGAGCAAGCAAACATAAATGGATACAGGTGGTTTCAACGAACTGTAACCCGATCTCATATGAGGCAGCGAGGAGAGGGCATCGGGGTCAGCGACAGACGCGGTGAGGGCCGCATAGGCGGCATGCTCTCTCCGATAGAGTCGTGTGCCAGACACGCGAATCTTCAGAAACTGCATCACTATTTTATCAGAGGATCACGCCCTTAACCCCCCCCCCCCTACCACCACCACCTAACCATCCCACTCCTCCCTCCCCCTGGCCTTTCTCTGTGACTCTTTCGATCTATCTTCCTCTCAGTCTTCTCGTTTTCCTCGTCTCTGTCCACGTTCTTGGCGATAACAGAATACGTGACGGGTTAGATAAGTGAGCCTTCCAAAATAATGAAATAATTTAATATTCCAGCCTTGATACATTGTGAAGCTACTTCGTGCCAAGTCTAATACGTGTAGGCCAAATTGATACAAACTGATCACAAGTGTTCCAGGAAGATGTTAACTTACAGAATAAAAGATCGATTGATGAAAACATGAAAAAGATGAAAAGAATGTTTTAACCTCTATCTGCTAATACTAAATCCACAAACTCCCATAAATTTCCAACTAAGCCTAAGCCTAAATATCGGTCTAATGAGTAAATCAGTAATACTCGATCAGACACATTAAACTTTCCAAAAACTTATTGACCCATCGAAATTAGCTTTAGTCACTGACTTAGCCATTTTCTTCCTGAAAATTATCATTCGTGATCATTTACAAATCTTATTACAGACAGACTACACAGAGCGATTTTCCACTGAGAGAATGCAACGCGAAGGGGGAAAAAAGCGGGAAAGGGTGCAAACAGATGAGAAAATCACCATCCTGCCCGGGATAATCGTCTGATTAGGGCGGTATTATATCTAGAGGATTGAGCGGACCAAGTAACGATTGTACCATATTATGAGTTATTACTAATGGAGGCAACAGGTCATCTGTATGATGCTTTATTAGTCTTATGTCATAGTATGTCACACAACTGAATTAAACGATGATATATCTATATTATATGCAAGGTCAAATACTTTCATTTGCAAGTTTCAATAGTATATATGCATGTTTCATTAGTATATATTGAGTGTTCATCAAGAGCCTCTTGTTATGACATCATTATCGAAACGATAATAAAAAATAAAAAACATATAATCGTAATGTTATAACATTATGAACATAATAATCATGCCTGCAGAATATTGATTTCTTTATTTCTATAATGAATTGATAGAAATCATAGAATGATCATGATAAATATAAAAAATGGATGATGATGGATGGTTCAAAACATAAACATAAAAGATTTCAATCTGTATCAAAAGTTCAGAAATTATCTGGTTATACAATAAATGTTAATATCTTTTGAATTTCCTCATTTTGGCCGGTGTATAATTACTTTTTTTTATATTCAATGTATCCGAAAGTTGTAAAGATAACCAAACATTATTTTCTAAAAACTCGAAACTATAATTATTTTTCATTACCTTTTGTTCAGAGACTAAAAGTACAATAACGGTAGTCCGTGCTTCTTGAAAATTTTAAAATAACTTACCTGTTGTTGATCTGCTTTTGTTTCTTGGTTTTGGTGCAGGAGCTAAGCCTCTGTTACCCATTACCCCAGGATGGTGGAAATTGAGAGCGCTGTTAGGTAGCTCTGACATGAACGAAGCATAAGCTGCGGGAACATGGTGGGGAGCCTGCGAGTAGGCCGAGTCTAGTACGCTGGAACTCATGGCTGATGTCGATGCCAGGGAACTCACGCTGTTACTCGTATTACAATGAATGTGTTTCCCCGAGGTCGACGATGTCCCGTTCTTGAGCTCGGAGCCGTAATCGGTGTTGGCCGTGTGTAGGCTGACGGGGGTAATGATGTTATCTGGTGTGTTGTCCTTTGGCGGGGTCGGAGGGAAGCTGAAGTAGTGTGCTGCTGCCGCTGCCGCTGCGTTACCCTGATGTGTAGCAGCAGAAGGGACGGTTCCAGGGTGGCCGTGCGAACTCGGCTGGATCGGCGTCGATGCCGGTAACGTGTAGGAACTTGTTGGACCGGGATGAGGTGCTGAACTACCAAATGGACCACCACACCAAGCACCAGATCCTTGGACTCCGTGAAGGGACTTTCCGCTGTCTAGCCACTGAAACGTCGGCGTGTGGAAATGGGGTCTGCAAACTTGACTGCTTGCTACTCCAGCTAAAAATTTCATTAAAAGAAAATAACAAGTTCACTTTGACTAGCCAGAAAATGAAAATAAACAAGGTCGCTACAAAACAACGAGTTGAAAAATGACGGAACTGAGCTGCTAATTTGGTTACCGAGAGTCAGAGAATTTGATAAGAGGTTGCCCAGCAAGTGAACTGAATAATAGTGTGTGTTTCTACAGGCATCCGAGGGTAGATTTATACCGGAGTCAACGTAAACCAACTACAGGAAGCAACGGAGAGCTTCCGGCTTTAGAGGCAGGCACTAGACCCCTGGGTGCACGTTGAGGCTCGCTGTCTGAGACCTTGACAAACTTTGGCGCGTGTGCCGCTGTAATAACCCAGCCACAAGCCACGCGATCAAACAGAGTAAGGTGCTCATAAAACTCACCCCCAATAACCCCCGCCCCTAAAATAGGTTTAGCAGACACTGCAAAAATTGGAGCAGTAGACCAGTAATCCTTGTCGCTGTTCAAGCTGGATTGGTATTAATAAAGACACAAACAGGTCTGTGCCTGCTTTATTTAAGCAAATTTTAGACCTGTTTAAGCCAAGGCCAATATAGCATGATAAAGAAGGGGTAAGATGTTTATTTCCTCAATTCCTCCAGAGAAAAACATCTGGTGGCGAAGGATTGCTAGTGCTCTTTTTTTCCTGGAAGTTGAAGCGTAACTTTTATCAACTTTTCCAATCAGGTGTTCTAGGGGGCTGACGAGGAAGAAGAAAAGCCCTTCCATTCGTCCGATCAGCAATTTGATAGGACCGTTTAAACAAGATGAAATTACAAATTGCCTGCGACAAGCGTCGTGCTGTGCTTGAAAACCACAACCATATATCCCACTGATCGTTGCATGATAACAATATTCATAACCAGCAAGAACCACTTCACTTGGTTTTACGACGACATATATATTTAGGTATTGAAATGGTGCTTTAACAACGTGGGCATCGACCACTGTAACTATTTCCCCCCTCTACAGTGGTAGAGTAATTAAAGACATCTTTTGAATCAAATCGGCAACAACATCAATGTGTACCGACAAAACGGTGGGGCGTGAGTTCAAAGTCAGTTTTATCTCGGCTTTTCTTTTCGGCATCGACACGTAAAATGGCGTGCCCTTACTTATCAGCGATTAGTTCTATGACGATCAAAGTATCTTTATGAAGTGAAGTGATAAATGACACACGATATAAAAATGATAAAAATCAGCCAATTTATTATAGAATGCCCATCTTCACACGTCTTTTGTAGTACAAGTGCACACCTGCACAGGCAAACTCCGATGGTATTTAGGACCCTAATGTGTCCTTTCGTCAAATAAGCTTCAGTAGAAATAAAATGAAAGGAACTAGTTACGGCAACAACAAAGAGCATCCGAATTTCGGTAGTACGCTGAAATTTGTTTTTCTGCTCCTCAAATATTTAACTGGCGTAAACTAATTTTGTCTTCTTTTGTGGGTCAAAATTGATAGATCTCTTATCAGATTTTTTCAAAGAACATTACACATGAGATTTGTCCAAGTACAACTTTTTTTTTATCTTGATAAAGATAAGTACAACTTTTGATAATTTCTATGAATCCAACACAACACGAGATGAATGTTGGGTGATATAGCATGATTTCAACCAATCAGAAATGTAACATTTGAACAAAGTCGCTATTCTATCCACAAATAAATAATATGGCTTCATGTTTTAGTCAGTAGTGAACATTTTTAAAGTTTCCTCTTTTTCTTTTAAATTCTAGTCCATCGTAGGCGTAACTTCGAAAGGTTTGCCTTTATTATACGCTTATTATCAACGACCGTCGTGACCAAAAAGCAAAATGTACTTACGGTTTGTTAAATAGAAGACAAAATAAGATGATGACGTATTCGTTAATTTACAATTTAACCTCGCTGAATAAGAAAGTTTATGGGTATCATGCATCACACACCATAGAGTGAGCCTTTGGTCAGTTAATACAAATAGGTCACTTGCTTTCCCTGGTCACTACTGGTCATTGCTCGCTGAAAATGAAATATATCGGCTGCAGTATAAAAAGAAGACGAGTGACGGAAGCACGCTCTCAAAAATGCTGGGGTGATATTTCCTGGAGCCCCTGCATAAGTTCCCTTGCTTGTCAATTACAACCCGCAAGCTTCTAAAATGGTCAGCCTTCAGGAACAAGACTCTAATTATACCCCTGGAACTTTTTACAAAGAAAAGAAAGGATGTCGAGACTTTTACGAAGCTAATATTACATCAGATATTACCCCCACACAAAAACGCAGACAAAAGAAAAAGTGTATTTGGTAAAAAAAATATATATATATATATCAGATTTATAGGACGTCGAAGACATTGACATGGCTAAAAAAGGGCCTTTGTTTTGTGATTTTTCATTTCGATGATTTGGAAAATGGGAATTATGCTGTGTTTACATTAACGACTATGAAGTTGTGTACAAAGCTTTGTAATGTGCCATATCCTCAATAAAATCGTAGGTGAATGCGTGAAATCGTTGATGTTTAGTAAATCGCATTATTTATGGCTATTTAATTATAGTGCTTTTATCATGTTAATTGATATCTATTACCAATAAGGATTCTTCGGTGTTCTTGCAAATTTCCTTGTTTACTTTTCGAAGGGGTTGAAATCCTTTAAGCCTACTTTTAGACATCAGTAAGTCTTCAAACTTTGTTAAATCACACAACATATCGCAACATATTTGCCCAGTCTCATTAACCAATAGATTATTTGTGTACTATGTGCTGAAAAAAAGTTTGATCTCATTTTGTTAAATTCAGAACTGTTCAAAATTGAGTAAAATATACCCCAAGCATAAAGCAATAAATAGAATTCAACACAAACGTAGGAATTTTAAAGAAAAGGGCTCTAAATACAGGTACTAACTTAAAAGGCTTTTGGCGAGGTTAAAATAGTTTCCTACCTGAAAGGAAACTAAGTATAGCAACAGACATTTCGATCGTGAAACATTGGTTTGTCTAGAGTATGCTGTCAATCAATTCAATTTGTAAACGATTAGATTGACCAGCCAGCTCTAATTTGGTCCACAAGAGGTCTGACACGGTCATGTGACCGTCAGGTTTCATTCTTGTGTTACGTAATCAAATATCGATATAACGTTCTTGGCAACTATATATAGATATGATATGCTGTTAAAACATAAAACATCGCCATCAGCAATGTCCCAACGCACTTACATGCTGTTAAACCTGTCTTGCAAAAGTATAAAATATTAATATCAATTGACCAAAGATAATTAATGGCCAATACCTTCTCTCTCCCTGTATACTAAATTAATCTACGATAAATTATTAAACGACCACTAACTAGTTTTTTATGCATTTTTAAAGTGCTGAAAATGAGAGAAAAGGTACAACTTTGGATTACCAATATAGGGCAGTGTAGTAACTGTCTTAGCTTGAGCTATCCCCGTTTACAATGCATCCCCATAAATCCATACTCATATCAACATTATCCCATATGATATATTACACAAATCTTCTCTTTTTTATATGACGGAGAAAAATTAATACTCGCGAAATCTTTCGTCTGGGTTCTTTTTGAGAGGAAGCAGGAGTTGTCAACCGTGTCCTACATACTAATTCAAAAGGGAACCATGTGGCAGCCTGCAATACTCCAATCCAAGGCTAAATTCTCGTGGTTGCACCTAAAAACAATCCGAACATATTTTTCACAAAATGTAACAGATTGTATGAAATACAGGTGACCTACAATTTCGTGCAAAGTTTAACTTCTATGTATATCAGAAATCAATTCGTATACTCATTACTATATCTTCAATTAATATAATTCTTATTATTTCAATTTTGATAAATTTTCATTTAATTATTGTTTGAAGTCCTCTAAAAGCACATTCTTTTAAATATTCATCAATATTAATTGATTTTGATAACACATTTTCGAGATGATATATAGAAACCCTTGTATTTTTTCAGGAAGTTAACATACAGTTTAACCCGCACTTTTATGCATCAAGATAACAGAAAGCAAACAAAGAGACAAATAGCGGAGTTACACACCTGTGCGTGCGTGTATGTGTGTGTGTGTGCGTGCGTGTGTGTGGTTGTTTGTGTATAGTTCCCTGCCTGAACATACATGAACATTTCCTTGTAATAAGGATTCATGATAAATCGGAACCCTTTGCTTCCGTCTATTATCCATATACCCTACACTTATCACGCGTGTTACTGTTTACAAGTTAAAAATATTGCATTTAAAAGCAATCCGAAATAGCTTGTGTAAATCCAGTCATTTAGATTTACACCGTTGCCCATCAAGTTGGAAATGAACTTTTATTACCCCTTTCGATGATTATTATTGTGAAAACAAAATTAATTCTTATTTATTAGATAAAGTATATATTTGTTTTATTGAACATAGGCCTGTTCTACATGCTCAATCGACTGCTCTTATTTATACAGGGGAATCTACAATTTAAAAGCTCAGCTTTTTACTAGATTCCCCCATATTTCACTACCAATATAGTTGTCTTATTTCAGTTCGAATACCATGTAAATGATGTAATTGTTTATATATCATTATATCTTCACAATGTTTATGTTAATTCGACTGTATTATTACTTTCATGGCCTGATATTATTGTATGTATTTTGTTAACACCTAGCCTATTGAAAGAACAATTCTTTTCAAATATTAGTGTTTATTGCTGAAATATGAAATAAAACTAAACGGAAAAAAATAAAACTGAAATATATCTTATCAGAAGTTTATATTATTGATCACATAAGTTCTGAGAAGATATAAAATATCGCCCCCAAAAATAATATTGTCACAATAATTTCATGAAAATAAAGGTAGAATTGTTGTACTTAATGGGCAACAGTTTAAATTGTAATCCCATGCTGAAATATTATTGTTTCCATCTACGATTAAGCAAAATGCTTGATAACATTAAAAATTGTTCAATGCAGAAGCGAAATACATTTTAAATATGCTCTTTA